GCACAGCACAGCACAGCACAGCACAGCACAGCACAGCACAGCACAGCACAGCACAGCACGAATGCCGATAGAAAAAGGTTTTTAAAACCAAAGAATCCTTTGGCGCACCGTTACCGCGCAGCAAATAATTGCTACACATCGCAATGACAACTTTGGGAAAGAGTTAGAACCTACCTAAATAGCTGGCTCGTAAATGGTTCGCAATCACATCGGCAAGAACATTTTTGCTTCTCTTCGATCTTCGATATCCTATCCAAGCCCTTGGCTATAAGGAACACGGAATCCCTTATCAGGTCATGTGACTTCCACTTATGGTTTGCCGGGCCAACGATAAGTAAAACGTAGGGCACTAAGTAGGACGGAATGTAATTTCTCTCCAGTTCATTAAACATAATCCACGTAAAAGCAGGACCAAGCATATCCAGTTGGCTAGCCGCAGTTAAGATATTGTCCACAATGACTTGATCGTTAGTCAAAACTGCAAAGGATGAACCAAGCTTTTTCATTTCCGTGAATTCTAAAATTAACTTTTCCAAACTTGTTTCGTTGGTGACCATCGAAGAGTTTAGCATTAATATGTTGTTTAGAGGGAAACTACGTTCAAAATTTGCTGTTATTTGCATATTTTCTATGGAATTGTCATGCATTAAAATGATCTTTTTCCAGCTCAGTTTATTTAGGATTGGTGCTATAGATGCTGCTTTGTCTTTGATACTTGATTGGGAACTAAGATGAATCATTGGGAATCCTTTCCATAGCGTAGGAATAGTGAGGCTACTCTGTGGCGAATCCAAAAGAATTAAAATGTGATAATTAGTTTAGTTCCAAAGCCGATTTCTAAGTTATTGCTTGAAGGAATCAACAATCTTGATAATTATATGTACACCTACTTGCATGAACGTTGTCACACGAGAATAGAACATTAGTAAAGAAAAGAACTGAATTAGTAAGTAACTGAATCTGAAATTTTTCTTTTGTCTTTTAATGTATTCCTTTCTCACTAAATTACTAATGTTCTATTCTTGTATGACAACCTTCTTGCAAGTAGGTGTATATATTTTTAATTTGTTGATACTTTTAAACAATAATTATGATAGCAACCTACAAAGAAACATTTAATTTAGTTTTCTAAATGTTTATCAACTTTTACTGCATGGGAAATACGAACTACATCCGGAGCATCAGTGACATATTTTTCATATATATATCGATGTCACTTCCGATGTTTTTCTGTCTACTTTAGATTGAATTCCAACAGTTTTTTTTTTCCTTTTTTTGTGGGTGTCTATACATAATTAAAAGAAAAGTACACGTTTGATCGAAGACATAAAGTTTATCTTCTCGTGTTGAAAAAGATTTTACTCGTTCGCTGCGTTCTCTGGTGAAATAACATTTTCACCTATCGAAGATAAAAATAAATATCTTTGCGCCACCGTGTAGTATCCTATATATATTTAAGGAATATAAAACGCTCGTGCATGCCTCTATACTGTCATATAAACAGGCCATGGGCAGTAGAGCACGAGAGAAGCAAGAGAAACACAAGACAATATAAAGAAAGTGGACAAAGGATTCCGGTAGTACGTGGTACTTCATAATAACACAGTGTCCTACTACAGATTAGTATAAACTAACTAATGATCTATAATAAATCCTGCGCTCTGATTGGCTGTGATATTTGTGGCTATTAGTTATATATCACTAGTAGCGGAATATGCTGGTTTTGAAAACCAAAACGAAGCAAAAACATCTAAAGACCTAATTTCGAAATTGAATGTCTTCATTTATTTTGCCAATTAGTTACTTTATACAAAAATATATTAGACCTCTCTCCAACTAGGCTATAGACTTGTAGACCACGAGGGCTGCGGGTCCAATTATTAAGTATTCTCGCCTTTTCTGAGCATGCGCATTAAGTAGCAACACAAATCAATCGGTTTCGTACCTTGGCTATGATGTCAATGACGGGTATATGTTTCATATTTGCATACTCCAAGACATACCATGAATGTCGATGTCGGGTTGCTAGAATGACGACACAGAACGTGTACTGACTAAAGCGTCGATAAGTCTCTTCTATCGTGCCTATCTCGCTTGAGCTCTTGTTAAATGTCAAGAAGTTGAACTTGAGTTTTGGTACGCATGCTCCTGGTTCATAGTATAGTGAGGCTAAGCTTTCCTCAGATGTTAATGAGTTGAATTCTTTCGAAAAATGTGGATTTAAATCGTCCAAAATAACCAAAACTCGAACTGTCTTTCTATCCCAAGGACAACCGATACAACTCAAAGCAAAGCTCATGACCAGTAACATGATCCAGGCAAGCCAAGCAATTGTTATCCACCTCATGGCTATTGACGTATTTCTGTTCCATATAAGAGCTTAAATTCTTCAAGAGCGAACATTTTCAACTCAACATTGATGGAAAGGCCAGAGACCTGACGAGGAAAAAAAGCATTAGTCCTAATTACACTAATGGGAACCAAAAGATTTTTTTTTACTATTTTTAGAAACAAAATGGCGGCTTCATGAATATGCAAAAAATCATATCTTTTGGTTCCCATATCAGAAATGAACAAGTTTTGCATTTTTTAACTCCTCATGTGCGTTTCTTTCAAATGCGCTAGTTAGAATTTCGATTTTCCGCTTAAATTGATGACGTCATCGCCCCGCCAAAAATGTCGAAATTCAAAAAAGTCAAACGACAGAGTTAGGAGATTTGTTAAACTCTTCAATGTTACCAAGTTTCAAGAAATTTTCATGAAATACAAAAAGGTTTTGCCAAAATGCGACCGCTAGCCCGACGTGAATGGTGTGGAATGAAATCATTCCAAGCAATTACTGACTATAGACCCGGCCAAAGCATGAAATATCAAATCAAATGGAGACTGACTGGAGTTAATTATAAATGACTTGATACGTTAAAAATAAAATATATATATAACCCAAAAAAATATGATTATTTTTTGGGAAAATGTAATTATTAAAAACTGTGCTAAGTAACTAAGTCATCAGGCGCCCTAAAATTAAAGGCTTTATCTTAAGATAACAAATTTCAAACCAATCAATCAAACTTTATATCTATCTTATATAGGATCTTCACAGCATCAAGGCCAGGGTAATACGATTTTTACGGAATTCTTTTACTGTAGATACAAATAGGATAACAATTAGGAAAAGAGAGAGAGGAAACGAAAAATGAAAAATAGAAATAGGAGAAAAAGAGAAAGAAAGAAAAGAAAGAAAAAGAGAGAGAGTGAAAGAAAGGAAGAAAGAAAGAAAGAAAGCAAGAAAGAGGAAATAAAAGAAAAGAATAAAATGAAATGAATAAATGAAAGACAAAAACTTAATGACCCCGACGTGACTCGAACACGCAGCCTTCTGATCTGGTGTCAGACGCGCTACCATTGCGCCACGGAGTCATACCTGTTTAAATCAGAGGCTGTTTAAGATATCGTTACTCAAAAGGGAGATTGATACTTACATTGCGTCATAGGACGGAGCAACAGAAGCCTGTAGTAAAAAACAATATATATATAGGTTAAGAAAATGGATAGAAAGAATATTGCAGATGAATTTGAATTTAAGCGTGGAGATAAATGTTTGAAGAAAACGAAAATTCCCTAGTTCCTGTCGTTTTTCCCAACGACAAAACACTGTTGATATTTTAAACGAATTAATAGAATCGATAATTGGAAATATATCCCCCCCAGGATACAAAAGAAAGCAAAGATATGACCATTTGGATGATGTAATAAACGAAACCAGATATCTTATGTTAATTTCGACCAACATGGCGGCTATCGAAACCAGCAATAGGTACGTAGTTTGCAGTTACTCATCAGAATGAAATACGAAATGACACGGCCGCAGTATTGGTTGACATAGCGATACAAACCTACTATGAAGAATATACTGCTAAATTCCCTACAAATGGCGGCTATAAAAAGCATGTCAGTAAAAAAAGAAAAGAGTGTTTTCGCTCAGTCCCTAGACTGACAATAGAGATGGCAGCCATATTGGTTTACCTAACGAAACTAGGTTCAAAGGTTCACCAATATGGCAGCTGTGACTTCATGTGAAAACGCTCTATTGATAACTGACGAAAGTGACAATAAAGTAAACACTTCGGAAATTCAAGGAAATTCATTATATAATCCTTAAATAATATTCTAGTGAGGTTTTAGAAAAATAATTTTCGACAAGGTAGCGCAGTTCCAGCAAATAAAAATGGCGGCGTTAATGACGTCACATTTGCTTCCCAAAACTATTGGGTGCATACTTCAAATACTCACGTCCTCTGAATCAAAGGTCTTTTTGACACTTTCATTGTCGATTCCAATTTCTTGCTTTAGCTTTTCTTCTTTCACTCGCTCTTTTTCTCTCATGTCCTGGCGATGTTTCTCGCGTTGACGTATCTTGTTTCTCATTCGCTCAACATTAGCCTGGAAGAGTCATGATGCATTGTGAAATTTTTATTTCATTTTATTTAATTATTAAATATTCTCCGATAGAGTGCTTTTAGTCTCACTGTTRAATAGTTAGATAAATTTATCTAACTTAGATAACTATTTAGTTGACGTCACCTAAAATAGTAAAAGCGCGCCAAATAACGGTCATGCTAATCCGGGGGGTTGTTTTACCAGCGAATGAGTGAATAGACATTCATTTGTATCACCGTTTCTCCCCCTGATCTCAGTAGCTGTTTACTCGTAGTTTCAAATTTAGGTGACGTCACCTAAAATAGTAAATAACTTATCTAATTTAGTTGACNAAGGAAGGAAGGAAGGAAGGTTGCCACTTAGATATTTATGCTATTGAGGCGAGTGTTAAGGAGTGTTTTGTCAAGATAAAAAGCACGATATATGGCTTTTCATTGATAAAATAGCATCCTGCATAAGGAGTCTAAATGTCAAGTACGTTTTTTTAATCCTTACGTTTAGACCAATTATTTTTACCGTTTTTTTTTTTTGTTTTTTGTTTTTTGTTTTTTGTTTTGTTTTGTTTGTTTTTTTTTGTTTGTTTCTTGCAGTTTCTCGGCTTATCTCAGTGACTTTCTACTAAACATGGATAAGAAATTTCTATTTCTTTTCATTTGCGTCAATTAGGAAAGTAATAAGGATAGCGACAGAAACGAAAGCATAAAACAAGTGATAAAGATTTTCCATAAGGTAGCATCAAGATGAAAACCGATTTCTAAAAAAGATAATAAAACGGTGATCTTGGTATTCAAAACCTATGAGCTATAGGGTTTGGTGGCTGTAAGGAGAGAGGAATAGTGCGGAAAACCTGAAAATTTTGGTTAATATACGTAAACTCTTCAGTTGCATACATGTGCTAATGAATTCAGTCTGAGAATACACGACGGTGATGGTGATGAGTGGTGAGTGGTGAGCGCTTTACGTTGTCTTGTTCGTTTTATTAGTTCTATAAAGTGAGGCGACATGGTTGTGCCATGTCAGATTTAAACGGAAAGGAGCTTTATCCATAGGGCTTTTTTGAAAATCACAAATAGCAGAAACAGGGATCGAGTATTGTTGTCATGATCGTGACTGTTAGACTAGAGTCCTTGCAGAGGAAAATAGTACTTGGTCGATTTGGCATTGAAGTTCACTGTTGGACTGTTTTAAGGGGCGAAATAGAAGTCATCTTGGAAAATATGTCCCCGAAAACAGTTCCACAATGCACCGTAATGTCAACTTGACCAAGTTTTTGCCTCTATCTCGTAATGGCTGAACATGTAATATATATAATATAATACTGTTAGTCTAGGGTTTTACTGCTACTGGTATTGACTGATTATTTTTGAATGACGAAAGCAAAAATTAAAAATCAGCGCGCATTTCTCAATATTTCAGTTTCAAGCTATCTGTCGCTCAGCGTTAGCCTAGATTTTGTTAAACCGCTATTCTATGTGGTCATCCGAGCCACGTGAATCGAAGATTTAACCGTTTGTAGTTGTTATATTATATTTCTAAGACAGCACGTACTTTTATATAAGACCCTTAAGGCTGGTCCAGCCGGGACTCGAACCACGACCTACCGCAAGGAAAGTCCGATGCTGGTAACAAACTGAGTCAACCGTCTCTTCAATGTATATGGTTGTATATATGTATTTATATATATATATATATAAATGAAGTGTCAAAGTTTATGCACATGGCTGTATATATATGCATATATATGCTAATTATTATAACAAGCAAAAGCTTGACGCTCATCAGTCACAGCCTTTTGCTAACGTAACTAAAAACAATTGACATTGAGTTGGATTTCGAATTTTGATTGTTTGGATAATATTACGTACAAGTAAATGGGATCGTAATTTGTTTGTAATTCAAATTATGCTTATACTAATCCATGTTATAAAACTAAACCACATTGAGTACCACAAGATTACTCGTATTTTAAACAAAACATCATGTTATCGAAGTCGGCCATTTTGAATAAGATTCGGCGCCACATAAGTATCACTAAACAGATGCCACTTGCACCCGTTTAATGATACTTATTCAAAATGGCCGACTTCGATAACATGACCTGTTTGGAACAGGTTTTATAGCTCCTTTATTACATTGATCTGCCTATTTATCCTGGCGACCTATGGATAACAGAGATTGAATCTAGTGTTCATGAGCTAGTTGTGTTAAGCATTATTCATCCACCTGTAGCTCCAAAGGAAAAAAAACTAATAACATCCTTAGAATTACAAGAAAAATATTTCATAAAAATAAGTGATGAGTTGAATAGACTACTAATGCATATCGATGCGAAGTTCGGAAAAATTTCTTGTAATCTACAGTTTGCAATACTGATGAGATTTCTTTGTTTTATATTCATTTACTATCTAGAAAAAAATTGCTTTCTACATACTAAAACTTCCAAAAAGCAAATACTGATAACATCATTTTATATGTCTCCATCTATAGGACGCTAAAAATAAGATAAAATATACATGAAATATTCTAGAAAAATCGATCGAAACTACAGTTTACAAGATTGATATTTTTTGTTGTTTTGCATTCAGTACTGAATCATCTAGAAAGAAAAATGAAATCTCCAAAACCTCAGAATAAATAAATAAAAAGAAACTGGAAAGAAAGAAAGAAAATCTAGCATACTAAAATGACTGTTATTTGCAACTCTCTTTCAAATTATTTTTTATTTAACAAATGGATAGCAAAAAATGTGCGAAATTTTTTTGTTTATCTAGTAAAACACCAGGAGTCAATGAGTAATAAGGAATATCGACTTTCATAAACAAAATACAATTAAATCCAATCTTGAAAATTTTGAGCAATAACATTTGAAAAAATTGAATCTTTTTTTATCATCGAAACCTCTTTACATTCACATTTGAGTAGAAACTGTAGACAAGCGGCAGAATATGAATATTTTTTCACTTCAAAGAATAAGAGAAAAAT